TCCTTCTGCAACACACTTTCTCCTTCTGCAACACACTTTCTCCTTCTGCAACACACTTTCTCCTTCTGCAACACACTTTCTCCTTCTGCAACACACTTTCTCCTTCTGCAACACACTTTCTCCTTCTGCAACACACTTTTTCCTTCTGCAACACACTTTTTCCTTCTGCAACACACTTTTTTCTGCAACACACGTTCTCCTGCTCACTACACACTGTGTGATACTAAAGACACTTTCTTCATAAATACCTGGATGTGTTACCATTGGGAAACACCAAACACATAAATTGAATATGCAATTAATGTGAATGTGAAATTACTGAGACACACACATGAAAACACACACTTACAAAACGCGACACACATCAGCCTGACATAAACAGGCCTCAATTTTATCATATCAGAACAGGATTTAAAGTACTGCAGGGTTATGGACAATGAGCGAATGTTTCCAAAATGTGTTCAAGATATTCCAAACTCTGAGCAATGTAAAGCTTTAAAAATGGGCATATAAAGATTACTTACTTACTAATTAGCACTTAATCAGCTGTTAAAGGAGCAGTATGTAAAACTTGTGGCAAAAAGTGGTTCTGCACTCTCCCTGACTCAGGTTGCCAGATATGCAGACACATGTAAAAAGTTTCGTCAACAACAATTCTATAACCAAAACCTTTTTCACAAAGATATAAATCCTGGTTTTATTCCTTGTTTTGTCATTAATGATTTGAGAATCATGACAATACCTTTTTTAGTTCTGCAGCCACTTGGGGTGTATTCAGACCTGAAAAGTCCTTTGCTCCGCTTTCTTGATCCGAATCAAAAGCGGATCAAACTTTTTTCTTTTGCTCCGGTTCGTATTCAGACTGTCCTTTTTGCAAGTGAACTTTTTTATATAAACATATTGACACGTGTGACGATCGGCGCTCCTATTGGACAGCGAGAGCTCACGGAGGATAGACGCGGAACCGGAGGAAAACAATGAGGGCTCGTATGTGCAGCATGTCTGCTCTGCCTATGTTTGCTCTTTTTAGAGCAAAACCACCTTCAACATCAACAGCAGCAGCTCATATGACACAGGCCAAACACGTTGTTTTAAATATTGGAACAGCGTCGGAGAATGCGTGAGGAGAAAGCCGAAGGAAACTGTATGTGCGCTCCGTGCCCTGTCCCACACATGGATCAATTATAATAACCCTGTTCCACAACTTACTGACAGCAGCATTGTGGATAAACCATGGATCTATAATAACCACGGGACAAACAGACGCTGAGGATCGGGTATTATCAGACTCAGCACAGGAGACCCAACTGCGTTGCTCAGTTTCTTTTATTTTCGTGGTCAGAAATCAGGATCGTGAACATAAAATTCCCACAGAGTCTGCACATGGACAAAGCACAAAAAGAAAGTCAGTCAAAACTGAAAAACATACAAGAACAAACTGATATGATTACCTGCACATGGACAAAGACAATCTGACAGAGACAATGGGGAAGATACAGGCTTATATACACAGAGGTGAGGGCAAGGACACAGGTGTCACACATTAGGGGCGAGGCAGGTAATCACATAGGCGGGGAAACAGGGAAGAGCAGGAAGGAAGTCTAACGAGAAACAAATTTCAAAATAAAACAGCTTTACATCACAGAATATAACTTAACCAGACATGACAGTACCCCCCCTCCTAGGGCCGACTCCAGACGGCCCAGGCTGGTCAGAGTTGTTTATGTGGAAATCCCGTATAAGGTCAGGGTCAAGAATGTTCTTAGCAGAAACCCAACACCGCTCCTCAGGGCCATACCCCTCCCAGTCAACGAGATACTGTCGTCCCCGTCCCCGCTGCCTCACAGCCAGCAGCTTCCTGACAGTATATGCTGTGCCACCATCAATCAGCTGGGGGGGGGGGGTGGGGGCTTGACCTTCGGTACGAGGGTACTTTCCACATACGGCTTGACACGACTCACATGGAACGTCGGGTGAACTCTCAGAGATTTAGGAAGCTTCAAACGTACAGCCACTGGATTCACGACCCGTGAGATGGGAAAGGGACCCATGAACTTCGGAGCCATCTTGCGCGATTCCGCCTTCAGTGGGATGTCCCGAGTAGAGCCAGACTCTCTGTCCAACCTGGTAAGCAGGAGCGGAGCTGCGGCGACGGTCAGCAGCCTTCTTGTAGGACTCAGAACAGCGGAGAAGCATTTGACGAGCCCGCAACCAACTCCGACGACAACGTCTCACCAAGGCCATGGCTGAGGGGACAGTAACCTCCTTCGCTAGAGCAGGAAACAATGGCGGCTGATATCCATAAACGCACTCGAAGGGGGTGAGACCTGTAGACGAAGAAGGTAGGGTGTTATGGGCGTATTCTATCCATACCAGTTGTCTGTTCCATGAAGCCGGATTCTGGGAGGCAATACATCGCAGGCCACACTCCAGCTCCTGGTTTAGGCGCTCAGACTGTCCATTGGACTGCGGATGGTAACCAGACGACAAGCTCGCCGTTGCTCCCAGCAAGGTGCAAAACTCCTTCCAGAAGGCGGAGACAAACTGCGGGCCCCGGTCCGACACTACATCCCTGGGAAGACCATGAAGACGAAAAACCTGTGCCAACACTATCTCAGCAGTCTCTTTAGCTGAAGGAAGCTTGGCCAGGGGAACAAAGTGAACCATCTTGGAGAAACAATCAACCACAGTAAGAATCACACTGTTACCTCCAGAGAGTGGTAAGCCAGTGACGAAATCTAGAGAGATGTCCGACCATGGCCTGTGAGGCACTGGGAGTGGATGGAGCTGACCAGGTGGCACATGACGTGGGGTCTTGTTTTGGGCACAAATAGAACATCCCGCCACGTAATCCCTAACGTCCTTCTCCATAGCTGGCCACCAAAAGCGCTGCTTGACCACAAACAAAGTCCTCCTGACCCCCGGATGACAGAACATAGGAGAACTGTGGCTCCAATGGATAACACGGGAACGTAGGGGGGTAGGTACAAACAGTCGATTTGGGGGGCATCCAGCAGGAACTTGCACCGTAGACTGGGACTTCTTGACCTCCTCCTCGACCTCCCAGATGACAGCGCCAATCAAGCATGAGGGAGGCAGAATGGAGGTTGGAACCTTAGTAGCCATCTCAGGGTCAGAGAGCCGGGACAGGGAATCGGGTTTCACATTCTTTGAGCCTGGGCGGTAAGACACAGAAAAATTGAATCTACCTAAAAACAAGGCCCACCTGGCTTGACGGGAGTTCAGTCTCTTGGCGGCCCTCAGATACTCCAAGTTCTTGTGGTCCGTCCACACCAGGAATGGCAGCTCTGCCCCTTCTAACCAATGCCGCCACTCCTCGAAGGCAACCTTAATAGCCAGCAGCTCACGATTCCCGACATCATAATTCCTTTCAGCGGCCGTTAACTTCTTGGACAGGAAAGCGCAAGGGTGGAGCCGACCATCCTTCCTTGACCTCTGGGACAAAACAGCCCCTACGCCGACCTCAGACGCATCCACCTCTACCACAAACTGAAGCTGGAGATCGGGTTGTACAAGGACAGGGGCCGTGGTAAAGAGCCTCCGCAACCGCTTGAAGGCGTGATCAGCCTGGGGTGTCCACTGAAACCTGGTCTTGACAGAAGTGAGGGCATGCAGAGGGGCAGCAACAGTACTGAAGTCTCTAATGAATTTCCTATAGAAATTTGCAAAACCAAGGAAGCGTTGTACCTGCTTGCGGGACTCGGGTATGGGCCACTCAGCGACAGCCTGGATCTTCACCGGGTCCATCTTGAGCTCGCCCTCTGCAACGATGTAGCCCAGAAATGATACCGTTCGCACATGGAATTCACATTTCTCAGCTTTGACGAAAAGCTGGTTTTCCAGAAGTCTTCACAACACTCTCCTGACGTGCTGGACATGGGTGTTCTCATCAGGGGAAAAGATTAGAATATCATCCAGATACACGAAAACAAAAATATTCAACATATCGCAAAGGACATTGTTCACCAGAGATTGAAAAACAGCTGGCGCATTAGTTAACCCAAAAGGTATTACTAGATACTCATAATGTCCTGTGGGGGTGTTAAAGGCCGTTTTCCATTCATCCCCTTCCCTTATTCTGACGAGATGGTATGCATTACGAAGATCGAGCTTTGTGAAAATCGTAGCGTCTCTCAACAGTTCAAAGGCAGTAGAAATTAACGGAAGAGGGTACCTGTTCTTCAGGGTGATTGCATTAAGACCACGGTAGTCGATACAGGGCCTCAGCGTCTTGTCCCTCTTTCCAACAAAAAAGAAACCTGCCCCAGCTGGAGAGGAAGACGGACGGATTATACCAGCAGCGAGTGACTTCTCGATATAATCCTCCATGGTCCGGGTCTCAGGTCCCGATAAAGAGTACAGCCGACCCTTAGGCAGAGTGGAACCAGGCAAAATGTCAATGGCGCAATCATAGGACCGGTGCGGGGGCAAGGAGGTGGCCCTAGCCTTGTTAAAAACCTCCTTCAGATCCATATAACAAGGTGGAACATGGGAGATATCAGGAAAATCAGATTCCGGACCAGTCCTGGCCGCAGAGAGAACGGCCTCAGGTAAGTCAAAACACTTCTTGGAGCACTCCACCCCCCAGGAAGAGACCCTCCCCTGTGACCAGTTGATGACCGGATTGTGCAACTCAAGCCATGGGTATCCCAAAACCAGTCTGTGCCGACCAGATTTGAACAGAAAAAACCCTAAACTTTCAGTGTGCTGATCGGGAAATGTAATCCTTACCGGCTCTGTATAGTGGGTCACTTTACTTAAGAGACGACCATCTAGGGCACTGGCGACAAGAGAATGTTCCAAGGGAATGGCCGCCGAATTAAGTTCTCTAGCCAGAGCATGGTCCATCAGGTTAGCATCAGATCCAGAATCAATCAATACGGGCATTCTACAGGAACTAGAAGGAGAGGTGAGTGTAACGAGAGGTGTGGGACGAGAGGGGTTCACAGGACTGATATGGCTCCCCAGTGCCCCCCTCTTCACTGGCGAGCCCGAGCTTTTGCCGAGCATGTGGCTGAGAAATGACCAAATCCCCCACAGTAGTAGCAGCGCCCCTCCCTCATACGCTTCTCTCGTTCTTCGGGTGTCAAACGAGTGCGTCCTAGCTGCATCGGCTCGTCCTCTCTAGGATACGGGGCAGGAGTTTCAGAGTTAGCTGCTCCCTGGGCTGGTGAGAAACACGGCCCCCTATACTGTTGAGGAATCCTACGACACTTCTCGTGCTCCCGCTCTATTAGCCGCCTGTCAATCTTGATAGCCAGTGCTATGAGCTCATCCAGAGTCTCAGGTAGGTCAAGGGGGGCCAGCTGATCTTTCACATGGTCATTAAGTCCATTCAGAAATGCATCGAACAGTGCAGTTGGATTCCATCCACTCTCGGCCGCTAGAGTCCGGAACTGTATAGCATAATCAGTTACTCTCTGACCTCTCTGTCGCAGCTGAACAAGAGAACGAGCAGCCTCTCTACCCGGAGTAACATGGTGAAAAATCTGTGTCAAGGTTCTAATAAACCCCTGAAGTGAATCACAGACTGGAGAACGTCGACTCCACTCAGCAGTAGCCCAAGCCTCAGCTCTGCCAGTCAAATGGGAGATAATGTAGGCTATCCTAGCTCTATCGGTTTGAAAAACTGCTGGCTGCATCTCAAAATGGAGTTCACACTGAGTAATGAAGGCGCGACAGTCCCCAGAGTCCCCAGAGAATCTCTCTGGGCGAGACAACTGTATCTGAGCTAAAGGCATGGTAGGAGGATGGGCGTTACTCACAGGTGGTACCGGTGGAGCGGATGAAGCTGCGCTTACTGAGGCTGAGTCTGGGTTGGCTTGGCTGGGACTTAACCGTTCTGCCAACATGTTAAGTTGGCTTGTGAAGGCAGCAATCATGGACTCCTGTTGGTCCGCCATCCTCTGTAAGTCGCCACGTAGTTGTCCAAGTAGTTCCTCCTGTTTGTGGATTCTGTGACCTTGGGCTTGGATGGCAGATCGAACTGGATCCTGGGTAACAGGAGTGGAGTCTGAGCCCGCTGGGTTCATGTTGGTCAGATTGTGCTATCAGACTCAGCACAGGAGACCCAACTGCGTTGCTCAGTTTCTTTTATTTTCGTGGTCAGAAATCAGGATCGTTAACATAAAATTCCCACAGAGTCTGCACATGGACAAAGCACAAAAAAAAAGTCAACTCAAAACTAAAAACATACAAAGAACAAACTGATATGATTACCTGCACATGGACAAAGACAATCTGACAGAGACAATGGGGAAGATACAGGCTTATATACACAGAGGTGAGGGCAAGGACACAGGTGTCACACATTAGGGGCGAGGCAGGTAATCACATAGGCGGGGAAACAGGGAAGAGCAGGAAGGAAGTCTGACGAGAAACAAATTTCAAAATAAAACAGCTTTACATCACAGAATATAACTTAACCAGACATGACATGAAGGCCGCACCGGGGCCTAGGGCGCCAAACCTCCTCCCAATAAAATACTCAAAAGCTCTTGTTTCTCGTCTCTCCAAATTGAATTCAGTTAATATGTAAGAACGAGAGGCAGCAGAGAGTGTGGACTGAGAACCAGCGGCACCGTCAGACATCTCTGTGATTGATTGATTGCAGTTGTCAAAAACAAAGTTACAGTTCAAACAAGAAAAAATATGAAAAAGGAATAAACAGAAGCAGTAATTATTTCTTTTCTCTCGTTGCTCTTTCTTTGTGGTTTTTCTCTGCTCTCCCTCTGGTCTCTTCTATCTCTGTCTCTCTCAGGTCTCTCTATCTGGTCTTTCTCTGGTCTCTCTCTCTGGTCTTTCTTTGGTCTCTCTCTCTGGTCTCCCTCTGGTCTTTCTCTGGTCTTTCTCTGGTCTCTCTCTCTGGTCTCTCTCTCTCTGGTCTTTCTCTGGTCTTTCTCTGGTCTCTCTCTCTGGTCTCTCTCTCTCTGGTCTTTCTCTGGTCTCTCTCTCTGGTCTCTCTCTCTCTTTCTCTGGTCTTTCTCTGGTCTCTCCCTCTCTGGTCTTTCTCTGGTCTTTCTCTGGTCTCTCTCTCTGGTCTCTCTCTCTCTGGTCTTTCTCTGGTCTTTCTCTGGTCTCTCTCTCTCTGGTCTCTCTCTGGTCTTTCTCTGGTCTCTCTCTGGTCTTTCTCTGGTCTTTCTCTGGTCTTTCTCTGGTCTCCCTCTCTGGCCCCTCTCTCTGGTCTCTCTCAGGTTCATCCCTGGTCCATGTCTGTAGGTTTTCTCCAGATGCACCAGTTTCCTCTACCCCTACCACTAAAAACATGTACAAATCTCTGAAGGGAGTGATAGGAATTCTGTCCAACCGGTTAGTAGCAACAACAAAAATCTGCTGGCAACTCTAGAAACACGTCCGGCTATACATACAAACAAATACATCATTGTAAAACACATAATTGCCGTTTCCAGTGTATTCAAAAGTGGGACAATAAAAATAAAATAATTCACTGCTCCATCCAATCTCTTTAATAACTCCATTATTCCCTCTTTAACCTCTTAAATCCGTTCTCGTCACAGTTACATGTGTCCTGATGCTCTCTAACCTTCACAGCAATGTTTCGTTTTTGGTCGGCCATTTTGAACAGACCGAACGAGCGTACTAATTACTCACTTTGAAGCTAGCCGCTAATTATGCAGCGCAAATCCATTATCTTCTGTTTCCCGAAGATTAACAGGCTTAATTCATCGCAAGCATTTTTATTACCCGTCGTTTCCAGACCGGAATTTTAATTAAAGAGGCAGAAGAAAGTAAACATGGACGTGAACCAGCTGTTCAAAGAAAAAACTACTTTGCTTTGCAGCGTCTCTGCAGCGTCTCTGCAGCGTCTCCATCTAAACAGGGCCTTGATGCCGTTTCCAGATAATTCAAAAGTAAACATAACATAACATAAAAAGATATAAGAAAAGTCTCACTTGGAAAGAGAAAATAATGCCTCAGAATGCCTTGAACTAAGACTAAAAGGGTTTGTCCCATTGACGAATCTTGTTTTGAAACGGTCAAAATGAACCTTACGGCAATATTTTCCTTGTATTTTACCTTTTTTTGCAGTGCAAGTATAAATGTCCAACCATAATTTGCAAATACTGTATTTTTTGTATTTCTTTTGGCTAATTTTGTCTCTCACAGTTGAGGTTTACCTTTTTTGCGCACAAGTTGGACATACCCAAATGTCTTTACAAATCCACAACATTGCAGTAATCTTTTTTTTATATAGCGCATTTTTACAAACCAAGGTCTCCCAAAGCGCTGTACAAACATTTCAGATATTGTTCCATTCTCGCCGACAACACTGGCAAATCAAAGCCTCCAATCAACACCATCCATTCACACTCTCATTACATACAGACCTATTGTACATGTTGTTAGCGGTAGGGGAAACCGGAGCACCCGGAGCAAACCTACGCAAACACAGGGAGAACAGGCAAACCACTCAGAAAGGCACTGTTTTGACCTTTGCATAATCCTCCGAGATGACTGCTGATGTGATTTAGGGCGATGCATGAATACATTCAATTGAATTAAATCACTGCTGGGTTCAGAATACACGGCAGTCCTCATTTCAAACAAATCACATCCAGATCCATTTTTCATCATTCAAGTGACTTTAATCATATTTTGTGTAATTTCTCCAGTGTTATTGACATTACTCAACTTTGAGATCAAGAGACTTTTAACCAAGCTTCAGCCGTCTTTAAATTCTAATGCAATCAGCGACGGAGGAATGTGTTTGATTGAGCAGCTGTGAGGAATAAGTAAAGCAGCTTTTTATACTTAATGTTATTCATTCTGACCTGTGAAGCTGCAGATTTGAGACCTGGTGTTGAATAAACAGCTCATGTTTGGACATGCTCTCAGAGCAGTCTGTTTGAAGAACAGAACAGATGTCATCGGACCTCTATGACATCACACTCGGAGCAGTTTTCTCCTTTTTTAAACAAAAGTATTGCACATACATTTGTTATGACAGTTTTTAAAGTGAAATGTTGTTCCTTGCGATCACATTTTTGTTGAATTTGGGAAAAGAACAACCAAGATTCCACACCTCCCTCTGGTGGCATTATAGGGAGTTACAGGCCACAAGCATTTCTTAACCTTCTTATTTGTTATTCATTACTAATGGTCAAAATTAGTTAATCATAGTTATTCTTTGAGTTTTCATACAACTATGCAGGTCTTTTGAGCACTGCTGTTTTTCCAATGACTTATCACGGAGGTTTCTTTCAAGGTCTATTGGTTCTGTTGGATTTTAGATACTATAAAGTCTCTCTCCCTTTGAGCTTTGCAACAATTAATCCATGTGAATTCCTGGTTGTGTGTCGCTCTGACCGCTGTGTTGTTTGTGTTTTTGCAGATACACAAAGATGAAGACGGCCACAAACATCTACATCTTTAACCTGGCGCTCGCTGACTCTCTGTTCTTGGCAACTCTACCTTTCCAGGTTTGTAAATATATTGACATAGTGATAATAAATACTCATGTCAATAATATAAAGTATACATCTGAAGTAAAGAGACAAATGTGGTTCTATATTGCGCATTCTGACATTAGTTCAAATTATTGCACGGATGCACAACATGCAAGGTCAGGTCGACAGTGTTCGTAAGTCCTCATCGTTCATTGTACAGCCTGACAGCAGCAGGAAAGAACTTGCAGAGCCTCTCCTTCGTACAGCGAGGGTGTATCAGTATATCACTGAAGCTGCTCTCCAGACAGACAGATACATTTGCTAATTAAGAATGTCCTTTTAAAAATAATTCCAACAGCAACAAAATTACAAATAACATTGAAAATGCATCATGGCTGTATTTTTTAAGAAAGCAAGAGTCCCTCTAACACCAACGCATAGAAAAAAGCAAAAACAATACAGCAACAGACAGAAATAAAAATCGAAAATGAATTATTAATTAAATTATAATGAACGATAAAACATTGGATAGTAATTAAATACTCTTCCTACCCTGTAAGGATAAGCTTGTTATGTTGTACTGTGAATGTCTTTTGTAGTTTGACTAGAAAGACTTTCGGCACTCACCACAGTGACCTGGAAGGATTATTCAGCTTCTCTCCACCACAATATTAAACTATAGTCTCTTTAGAATGCTGTTGTGGTCAACCTATAACCAAACTGTACTTATTCCCTCGTTGCCGGTGTCCCCCTCCAGGGAACAGACGTCTTCCTGGGGTTCTGGCCTTTCGGGAACTCGCTTTGCAAAGCCGTGGTGTCCATCGACTACTACAACATGTTCACCAGCATCTTCACCCTCACCGTGATGAGCATGGACCGCTACGTTGCCGTGTGTCACCCGGTCAAGGCGCTGGACATGAGGACGCCACATAAGGCCAAGGTATGAGGAGCCTCCAATCAGCTGTCATAGAGAGATACACAGATAGATAGATAGATAAGTAGTTAAATAGATATTTACAGATATTTACAGTGCAGAATGATAGGTAGGTAGGTATAGATAGATAGATAGATAGATAGATACAGTGTAGATAGATAGATAGATAAATGTCCAGCAGTAGAAACACAACAAATAAATACATAATTATAAAAGTTACTTACAATTGTAATAAAGGGTAACAATACACAGTACAACAAACTGCACAAGACGACACGAGGGAGGCATCAATCAGAAAAGAAAATCAACATTTATATGCAGATCTATTCTATACAGAGTTGATGCCCACTGTGGGACGAATAAACGCTCTCTTAATCCTAATCTTAATCTACTGTGTTGTGTTGTGCAGGTGGTGAACATCTGTGTGTGGGTCCTGGCCTCGGCCTTTGGGGTCCCTGCGATGGTGATGGGGGACGTGGAGGAGGAGCTGGAGCATGACAGTGAGTCTCAAAACACTCAGAGGTCACCGATCTTGGACTAAGACTAAGGTTCCCAGGATTCCCAGCAAAATCAGACATGTGATTGTAAAAAAAAACATATTTTCACCTAAAAAAAAAAAAAGTACCGGACAATACTTTAGTTTGAAAAAGCAGAAAACGTGAGACTACTTAACGTAATCCTGGTTCGTTGATAAACAGATTGAGGTCTTTCATCGTGAAAATCCATGGAAGGTCCAATGCCGTCTTTTGACAGACAGGTTGACATTACCTAGCACCGCCCACTCATCCTGGTACAGTCAACCTCCTTTTGGGATCATTCAACAGCGTTTTCTGACTGCTTTCTAAACTCCATCTTTGATATAAGATTGCAGATTTTGCTTTAATACTAGCTGTTTCAAACAACATCTTTTCTGTCTCTCAAATAAACAGGAAGCGAAAAGCGCATTGACAAGTGTGTTTGCTTGTCTCCTTGAACACCTCGTCTTCAGTCTCTTGCATGGAGTCGTTTTGCTCGATGCTTGTTCTACTGGTGCCGTTCATTCTCTGGAGATCCTGCAGCTGGGTGCTTCTCCACGTTCACCACGTTCACATCTGGCACTTTCATGAACACACATAAAGATCCACACTGAATTATAAAGCTTCTATTCACACAAAACTACAGTCATAGGTCTGTCCCGGATCGACTCAGAGGCAGCTGTGGCGATGTGCTTTATAGACCATAAATATTGGGACATTAACAGTTTTCTTACTTTTGGCTCTGTACGCGGCAACAACATTGAAGAAAATTCAAAAAGGTTATTTGTATAGCACAGATCATGCACAAGGCAACTCAAAGTGCTTAACCAAAATACAGGTCAGATTTCTACAACAAAACAATCACACAGTGAGCTGCGGTGGCTCAGCTGGTAGAGCATTAGCCTTTGAGCTAGGGCTGGGCTTTTGAAAAAATTGAATTTGTGAAAAATGTGAAAATTGTGAAATCGAATGATGGGCATTGTGAGAGTTCCAGCAGCACATCAATTATACTTGCATCAGCACAGTCTGTACGAGACCTTTATAATATGTATTGGGGGAAACTAATAAAAAAATAGTTTTGAAACTTGAATACTGAGCGGAAAGATACAAAAATATTTTTAAGTGCAAAGTCTGTCTTCAGTTACTTTAATGAAAATCGATTTAAAATCTAAATCGTCCAAAGCAGTAAATAATATCGAGATTTTACTTTTTTGCTATGTCGCCCAGCCCTACTTTGAGCCTGAAAGTCGTGGGTTCTATCCCCACACAAGACCTTCTCCATCGAAGTCATCGAGGCTGACTTCAATGCCCTCATTATCAGTGCAAACACTGAAATGTTGGTTCATCTTTTCAGAAACACGGTTAAATGGCAACAGGGGTAATGATGCAAGACTCAGCGGATATCATTTATATCATGTTGATCGACATGGAAAATAATCACCTTTATTTATATAGCACATTTTTACAGACCAAGGTCACCCAAAGCACTTTACAATGTTCAGAGTTCAGATATTGTTCCATTCTCTCCACACACAGTGATGACGGAAGCGAGACGCTGAACACACTGATGCATCAAACCCCAACCAACACCATTTATTCATCACTCATTACAGTCATGATTATTGTGTCCTATTATTTACATAATCCACTGGGTAAAATGTGAAAGAGGATTTCCTCAGTGAAATGTTTAGTAGTAGATGTGTTTTGAAGTCAATAATTCCCTTGACTGACGTGTTCGAGTTGATGCAGAGGCATGACAACAGATCTCCAAGTTTTAACATCTGTATTTAATTTATCTTTACAATCAGATACAGAAATTCCAACAAAGAGGGCTCCTAAAACTATGCATGTCCCTCTCTGGCCCTCGGCTGATCTGGTCTGAGGCTGGTCTTCCTGTTTGCTCTCCTCGTCCTTGGGGGCTGCCAAAAAGGGATTCACACATTCCAACCTATAGCTTCTTCCTTATAAGGAAGAAGCCCTTCTCCAAACAACTCTTATCTGGCTGGGGGAGGTCTGGTCCGGGCTTGGTCCTTCTCTGAATTTCACTAGATCCAGGCTTAATATTTGCACAAAGACATGGTATGCAAACACCTACTGAAAATCATTAGTATACAACATTTTAATTATACAACAGTTTCTAGTGATAACACTGTTTCCAGCAGAGTGACACGCACAACTTCAACATTCATTTGATAATATGAACCATTTTGGCTTGTTTTAAGCGAGATCACAGATCACTGACCCGTCTTCATCATTTGTGATCTACAACCCAAAAGGAACACAAGGAACATGGGGAAATCTAAATGTGTACCTACTTGATCAGAGGAGCATATAAACTCTTTTAGGAATGATCTGAGAAATCAGTACTGAGGTACAATATCTGTGGTAGATGGTAACAATATCTATGAAGAATGTTTTAATATTTATGTAACTCTAAACAAACTCTAACTCTAACAAAAATTGTCCCCTAAAATTGTCGAAAGGCAACAGATATGATAAAAAGCCATGGATAACTCCTGAGCAGTATGGAACCAAAAATCATGAGATGAGAAGTCTACAAATATAATGAGACTGACAAAAATGACTACTACAAAATACGTTAAATGAGAATGAGAGCAATATTGAAGAAATTGAAAAAACTCTCAATAGGTGATGAATCCTAATTCCCAAAGCTAAAATCTGCCAGAAGATTTTTTGTTCAAGATGGAAATGTGTAGATATTGCGAAGGAGTTCAATTCCTTTTTTGTTTATGTCGGCCCTAATATTGCAAAGAAGCTTGAAAACTTCAACAATAGAAATAGCCAAAAAACAGGTGGAGGAAGTCAAATTCTATATTTCTTGATGAAAAACAGAAACTGAAATTCTGGACATTGTTCATGAATGCAAAGATAAAGCTTCTAGTGATTGCCAAGACAAGAGCATTGTAAAGACGACGATAGACGCTTACCTTTGAGCTATATATTTAACCTCCATTCCGTACAGCTTTTATTTTCCCACAAAATGAGAAGACCGCTATGATAATACCTATTTTCAAAAATGACGGATTCATTTTTCTCACAGTTTTCTTATAAGTATTTGAAAAATGATTTACTCAGTTGATCTTTGAATACCGATACGGGTTCAGATCTCAAACATCTACTGCCCTCATTCACTTCTAAAATACTTCATGCTATTGGCAAAAAATTATATTTTGTAAGCGTATCTTTGGACTTACAAAAGATGTTTGAGACAGTTCTGACAGAAGACTGAGGCACTCAAAAGTTACAAAAATCTTTAAAAGCCTTTATTTGACATGGCAAAAAGAGGTTAAAATTACGCCTACGCGTTTCAGCCTTCTGGCCTTCTTCAGGGCATACTCGAGAGGAGTGTCTCAGTACAGATTTAAAGAGAATGGTGCTTGTCACATGGTCAGTGGGCGGGCCTACAATCACAAGGTTTAAAATCTGGAAAAAATATTGAAACTCCCAAACAAAGTGCATAATAATATGTACACACCGATGTTTGAGACAGTTAATCACGACCTACTATTTATCCAATACACCGCAATTTGTCCAATATGATAGCGACAGTGTTGTGTGGAATTCCTCAAGGCTCTGTAATTGGGCCCAAACTTTTTATACTGTTTATTAATGAAATATATGAGGCTTGTAAAGAATTTTTTGTTATTTGCTGATGATACAACAAAAAACATTATATTGATGTAATCGTTGTGTTTTTGTTGGTGCTCAGGTCCATAATAATAATAAGAATAAGAAGAAGAAGGAGAAGAAGGGGGATGAGGAAGAGATAATGAAAAAATAAAATAACAGAACAAAATAAGCAAATAGTGCTACGATATCTATATACTATATCTGTATAATGTCTATCCATCCATAATAAACCAATATAATTATTTATTTGATATGGACAAAACAGCTGCATATTTATCAAGCTATTTCTATATAATGTCTATCCATCCTTATAATGCCTATCTATCTGGCCATCCATATACAATTTTAATTGTTACTTTTTGCGCCGTCCATGCCACTCTCAAATGGTGTGGATTGCCTGACATATCTTTCATTAGCTCTAATGTAATAAAAACATAATTTACATCACTGACTGAGTGAGCAGCTCAATGATCAGGAAAACCAAACGCCGTCAGCTCCGCGGTCGATAAAGTATTCCACGGTCAGTGAATGCACCGTTGCCTCCGCTGCTTTACTGCTAATGCTCAATGTATTCATGCGATGGTTTTTATGTTCTGCTCAATGATCTACAACGTGTGGGGATTTACCACCATCACTGCTGCTTCAGAGAGGATCCAAATACAATGCAGCTTCAGAGTCCTGGATCTGCAGCTTCAGAGTCCTGGATCTGCAGCTTCAGAGTCCTGGATCTACAGCTTCAGAGTCCTGGATCTACAGCTTCAGTCCTGGATCTACAGCTTCAGAGTCCTGGATCTACAGCCTCAGTCCTCGATCTAGAGCCTTAGTCCTGGTTCTACAGCCTCACTCCTGGATCTACAACCCGTTCGTCCATGGACGAGGGTCAATGACAGATAGAGTTTTTTAAAAGGACAATTTTAGAAATACACAAAATATGAATGTATATTGCGGTTGGCCAAAGCTTTACAATGTCATGTGTAGATGCATACAGGTCAAAATGAATTGACATATTTTTTTTCTCGTAAATGAATCATTCAATACCTGTATTCTTTATTTATTTTTTCCCCACATGTTCTTAGTAATATAATTTGTATATACAGTAGGTACAGTTAGAATAATCATTCCAATAAAGTTGTGGCCACGTATTTACATATGGTTTGCGCATTTTATTTCCTGTAAATTGCACACAAAATATGCAAATTCAGATAAAATGCCTAACTTCTTGTAAGCTGTACAACAATCACTGATGAACTGGCACTAAAGCAACACACCGCTTTAGTTCCCTCTTCTCCTCCTCTTCTTCTTCAGGGCTGTTTTGCTGTGTCTGCAGCTACAGC